CCGCGAGAATCTTCTCTCGGCGGCAGGGATCGAAGCAGCGAGACGGACGGCAGGCAGGCCTCGCCCCTGACTCCCGGTGATGACATTGTTGCTGCTGCTTGTCCCTGTCCGCTGCTTCTTCTGCTTGCCTCTGCCGCCGTGGCAACACTCCATCGAGTTGCGGTGTGGACGGCGTTGCGCTGCGAGGCGACTGCGCTTCCTCCTGCGTGGCCCGCACTCAGCATTGGATGCCCAATAGGAAAACAACCATTTCAATGGGTGCCGTTCTCCATATGCATGTGCTGTGCCCACTCCGTTTGACTTTTTGTTTGAAATTGGTTGTATTTCCTATGCACACTGCTCCTTTCGTGTTGGTTGCCGATGTTGGGCCACCGGATGGCATTATGGCATTGCTTGTGTGTTTGTTAGATTTTCTGAGACGCATACACACACAACGATGCGAGTGGAATGTGCGCACAAGACACACACACGCGTATCGAAGCACATTGTCTGTGTGACTTGTGCTTGACATATTATGCGGAGCGGGTTGGTGCGAGCAAGGCCGTCGGAAGAAGGGCAGCCGTGTGAGCCCAGCAATGGTGTTCGTGGTTGTGCGCGGGATCATATGTTCCATCAGATGTTTGACGCCGTTCATGGATCGTTTAAAGTTTTTTCTGCGATGCCCATGCTGCGTCTGCGCTGAGCTGCTCACTGCGTGTCCATGATCTCATGGAGCACGGCGTGACGCTGCTCGAGGACCCCATGACGCCGCGGCAGCCGATTATGAGTGGCCCTGCACCCTACTTTTTTGCCGTGGAGGATGCGTCTGTGAGCCGCGTGGTTGAGGATTGGATGGCAACGGTCCCGCACAGGGATGCACACATCTTTTCGCTGGGGTACACCCCGCATCGCAGTCCTCAGCAACTCGAGTGGGCTCGGATAGCGCCGAAGGCGATGCGTTTGAAGGTCATTATGTTAGACTTTGCCGCCCCTGAGGTGCTGGTGTTCCACCCAAATGTGCCGAACGAGTTCTTTCAGCTGCTGTCGCCACTGTCGCCTCCGAATTGAGAGTCCGTTTTGGATGTTGCGGCGTCACGTCTTGTGGCGGCTATTCACGCCATGAACAACAGTGTGCCCGTCATTCGCTACCAAAGCAGAAGCAGCATCTGCCATGGGCTTGTCAGAACCTTTTTGATGGCTCGCCAGGCAATACCACGACGAGCCGGATTTTGCTTAGGGACGCCGACAGCCGCGGCAACTCGGTGCGGATCACCGTTGATTGGGGCTGTGTCACGGTGACGCCGCTGATGCACCAACGCACATGTCGGTGTCTGCTTGATGACCTGATGCCGCTGGAGAATAACTTGTATTAGCAGACCTGTAGGAATTGTCTGGCTGAGGACTCGAAGCGGCAGTAATTGATGGGGAAGATGTGTACCGGTGCTCCTACCGTCATTGTTTTCTTGCGCAATGCGTGGGGGAGCTTTTGGCGGCGCTGAAAAAACTCCACGCGTATCACCCGGGATTGGCGCATGGCGTGGAGCCGAAGGCCAAGCTTGCGGAGTTGGGCAGTGCGGTGCGGGCTCCGCCGGAGTTTCGGGAGAGGCAAGCCGGACTGTCGCTGCACATCGATATTTGCGCGAGGCTTGTGGCACAGTACTGGGGAAAGCGACTGGCGGAGGTGCGGGAGGTGGAAAAAGACATCGTCGTTGGGCACCAACCCTTCAGGAAAAACCTGGATGGCGTGCGGCGCCTGACAAGGGATGCCGCGATGCCCCGGCCAGTGCGTCTGCGTCTTCTCCTGTTGCTTGTGACTGCGAGCAGCACCGACGAGTTGACGGAGGCCAAGAAGCAGCAGCTGATCCGAGACGGTGGACTGACGCCCGACGCCCATTTGTTTGCGAACCTTGAGCATCTGACGAGGAGGGCCGGGAGCGTGCAGCAATACAGCACGGCGTCGGCGCAGGGCGGACGGAGCACGAGTGCCTCTGCGAGCAACGCCGCGACGGACGAGGATCCGCTTCTGAAACAGGCCTGTATGATGATGGAGACGGGCAGGAATAGGACGCTGCGGGTTGGGCTTTCGTTGTCATCGGTGCAGCGCGATCATGTGATAGGGCCAAATGGCGAGAGTGGTGGCCATAACAGTGGAGCAGCAGGAAAAAACGCCGGGCCATTTCAAGGGTGTGGTGGCAAAGAGAAGAATCATCCTGATCTGGGTGGCGGTGGTGGGACGATTGCCCTCACAACTTCTCAGCGCATAGTGCTGCTTGTTTTGGGTGGTGTGGCCTGCAGCGAGAGGCGCTCGGTCCATGAGATATCCAAAAGGTATGGCCGTGAGGTGGTCATTGGGGAGCCTCGCTGCCGTTTCCTGAGTCTTTTGTGTGCAGGGACTTGGTACCCTACGGCACTGTGACTTAGGGCCAAGACACGCACAGGAATGCATCGAGGGCCAAAGAGTGGAACAGACGCAACCACACACGATTGCGGGTGTCTGTGGGAATTGTGTGCGCTTCTTCCTGCATTCAGTTCCTCTCCAAGAATTGTTCCATACGATGCGCGTGTGTGTGTTTCGACGGCTGCGCTGCTTGCCTTTTGCTTTTGTTTTCTTTTGCGTGTGCGGTTGCAAGTCATTTCTCTGCCACGAAGAAGGCGGATAAAAAAGTAAGGACATTTGTGGAGCATGCACCCACGGCTTCAGTGTTTATCCACTGGTGCCGACTTTTCTTGCGGGGGCATTTGTGCACGCTTTTCTCTCCAGTGTTTATTTTTTTTTTCACACAGGAGACAACGGGTGGGCATTCGTGAGTGCTGCGGCGGGCTGTTGTTGCCCTTGCCGGGACGCGCTTAACGACGGCAGCTCCATGACTTTGTGCACAAAAGAAATGGGACTTTCTCCGGATCCTCACCGCAGGCGCATGCCGTGGACGGCCGCAAAGGAGTGTGTGCCCGGTGTTGTTCATGGCTCCAAGGAAAAGATGGTGTTGGATGGCGCACGACGAGTGGATGTGGATCGCGTTGACCGTGCATCGCAGGTGTATCCGCTGGAGGCATTGCGGGCGGCCGTGAACAAATGCGAGTACAATACATTTAGAGAAAGAACATTTTTAATTGGCTTCTCAGGCGGAATCCAATGTACTCGGGCAATGGGTTTACCGCGAGGAATGGCAGGAGGGGACGCACGACGAGGACGTCACTCGCACCGCCATTCATTTCCGTCGCCACGGCAGTAACGCAGCCCGCACCAATACGCCTTGCGGATGTTTTGGGTGGCATGCGCTGTTCTGTTTGCCGTCTTTGTTTCCCCATCCCCGAGCGTCGGTGCAGACTCCCTCGTCGATGCAAGTTCCTGTGGCTTTCGGACACATCCATTGATTGATGCGGCCGACACCCAGCCCATTGCTGGTGCTTCTTGCATGACTGCTGCACCGCCCCAGCAGCTGGTGCAGTGGGACCGGGGACGAGAACACAGCGGACCAGGTTCAATCAGATGGTGCTGGCAGCCCTGTCAGCGTCTCGCCGACCCCAGCGACCCACCCACACCACCAGCGAGCACAAAAATCGACGGGACAGGGAAGGCATCAACGGAGTGTCAGGACACCAGTTGTCTTTTAACATCACTCCTAGTCAACCAACCGTAGGAATTCACAACAACATCATTCACCAACAATGAAAAAGGAACAACGACCACCGCCGACAGCGACAGTAGCACCGCGGTCTTCTACACACCACCTCCCATTTTTTGCATCTTATTGTTGTTGCGTGTGCGGCTGCTGCTGCGGTGGTGGCCGCGTGAGAGTGAGGGAGAGAGCCGTGCACCGCCCGCACACACACTCTTCCTTCTCTCTCTCTCTGTGTGTGTGTCCCCTTGCATGGACTCTCGCCCTCACCTCACCCCACGAGGCACACACAATAATGTGCCCATTGTATATATGTATGCACACCCATGCAGGCCCGTTGGTGCTCTCTTTTGCACGACACGCACCGTTGCCGTCCTGCCTGGCTGCATGGGCGGAGCACCGTAACTGTTTCTGTTTTATTGCATTGAGTGGGCGACCTCTCTCTCTCTCTCCCTCTGTGTGTGTGTTTTGCTTTACGGGAGTAATGAGAGTGTGTGCGCTGGTCGTCCCACGCTTCGGCTTTCTGTTTTGTTTTCCCTTTTGATTTTGTGGTTGATTGCACCCATTCCGCGGCTGCGTTTGTGTGTGTGTGATGATATGAGTAATTTGCGTGTGTGCTATCTGCCTCTCTCTGCCGTTGCTTTCTTCAGACTCTCTTGGGGCGCACAGCTGCTCTGCAAGTATAGGCGCTGCCAAACACACAAGCACATGCACACATACAAGCCATGTTGCACACGTTGTGGGGCGGTGTGAAAGCACGCACGCACGCACAGGATTCTGGCTGCGGTTGCTTCTGCGAGAAGAGTTTGAGTCCGCGATTTGCCTCGTCGACGTTTTGCGGGCGTGATGTTGGCGGTGTGCAGTCAGTGAGTGGTGTGGCATTTCGGGTGCCTAGGACAATTGCGGATTGATTTGCTTCCAACAGCTGTAACTGCCGAGGTGGCGCTGCCGTTGTGTATCCGTTGACGGAGGATTCTCCGGCTGTGCGGGGCGATGTGCGGTGGATGGTGCGAGGAGAGACAACAGTAAAACGACTGGCGGCAGCGCGTGTGGGTGTTGCTCGGTGTCTGCCGACGCGTGAGGAATAGCGACGCACCCGCCGTGACTCCTGCTCCTGCTGGTGGTAGTCGCTGTTTGTTCACGGTGCACTGTTTTCTTCCTTCTCGTTCCGTGTGTCTGTGTGCGTGAGTTGTTGTTGTTGGGAGTGACTGCGGTGGGGATGATGGTGCCACTCACTGTGGATGGGTGGCGGTGTTCACTGCTTCACTCCTTTTTTGTCGCCTGTTTTTCTTTATTTCTTTCACACAAACAAAAGAAAGCAAACAAGCGCTAATCGCTACTGTGAAATTCGAAGGCTCTGAAGGGACCAAAAGCACACACACCGCCCACACACATATTTATATGCTCTCACGTGTTGCTGCAGTGAGGGCACCCCGCACACACAACCGTCGCCGCGTGACCGGATCCAGCGGAAGGAGGAGGGAAGTAAGAGAGAGTGAGCCGCAGAGGCCCAACATGTCCCGGCGTGTGTTTACTTCCGCGGTGCTGCTCCTCCTCGTCGTGATGTTGTGCTGCGCCTGCGAAGCTGCACTCGCGGAGGAGAGTAATCCAGTGACTGCTCCAAAGTATGAATGGAAGGACGTCAAGGATGAGGAGGGTGTAACTGTGGAGTCGTTGGGTGTTCCCGGCCTTCTAAAAGTAGGGAGTGACGTGTTTGCCGTTGCCGAGGCGAAGGAAACGAAGGAGGGTCAAGGCAGCTTTACTGGCTTTGCATCCCAACTTCTCACGGAAACAGTGGAAAAAAAGGATAACACACCGGTGGAAATAATGAATGATGCCAACACGAGGACACAATTTCTGGAGAAAAGCAATTCTCCAAACAGGAAAGTGGATGTGAGCCGACCAACAACCATTGTGAAGGGAAATGATATTTACATGCTTGTTGGGAAATACAACCGTAATGATGCTCAGGGGAGTAGTGGGGGTGACTCGGGGCTATTGCTAATGAAAGGGAACGTCAGTGAAGAACATAACAAAAAAATTGACTGGAAAAACACTGAAAGTCTCCCGCGAGGACCTTTTGGCACAGAACTCGAATCCTTGACGGGACTGTTTGGCGGCGGTGGATCGGGTGTTAAGATGCATGATGATACGCTTGTGTTCCCAGTGGAAGGCACGAAGAAGGGTGAAGCACAAAGCGATGAAAAGGCCGTTTCGTTGCTCATATACACCTTGAAGGATACTTCTGAGAGTTGGAAGCTGTCGAAGGGGATGTCTGACGGTGGCTGCAGTGATCCCTCCGTCGTGGAGTGGAAGGACGAAAAACTCATGATGATGACTGCGTGTGTTGATGGCCGCCGCAGGGTGTACGAGTCCGGTGACAAGGGGGAGTCGTGGACGGAGGCACTCGGGACACTCTCGCGCGTGTGGGTCAACAAACACGAAAAAAATGTGAAGCGCGCTAGAAGCGGGTTCATCACAGCGACGATTGACGGTGATGAAAATAACAGAAATGTGATGCTCGTCACTCTGCCGGTGTATTCCGAGAAGGATGAGAGTAAAAAAGAAACGGGCGTACTCCATCTTTGGCTGACGGACAATACGCACATTGTTGATATTGGGTCGGTATCCGATGATGACGCGGCCGCCAGCTCCCTGTTGTACAAAAGTGCTGGAAGTGGAGCTCAAGATAAGAAGGAGGAGTTGATTGCACTGTACGAGAAGAAGAAGGAAGATGGAAAACCATCACCCGGTATCGTCTCTGTGCTTCTGACTGCGCAGCTGCAGCGTGTGAAGGATGTGCTGAGAACCTGGAAGAAAGTGGACGACCGTGTCTCCAAGCTGTGCCCTTCTGAGAGTGCTGCGAAGGGCCGTCCAATTGACAATGCCTGCAGCCCTACTGTTAAGATCACGGATGGGCTGGTTGGCTTTTTGTCCGGCAACTTCTCTAATGACACATGGAGGGACGAGTACCTCGGGGTGAACGCCACGGTAAGTAATAATGAAGGGGCTGCGAAGGCAAAATTGCATGAAGGCAGCGTGAAGTTCCATGGAGCGTGGGCGGAGTGGCCCGTTGGCGAGCAGGGGGAGAATCAGCTGTACCACTTTGCGAACTACAAATTCACTCTTGTGGCGACGGTGTCCATCCACGGTGTGCCGCAGGAGGGTTCTCCCATTCCTTTGATGGGTGTGCGTCTGAACGATGAAAAAAAAACCAAACTTATGGAGTTGTCATACGACAGCGGAAAGAAGTGGCAGGTGCTGTCCGGTGACAAAACTTTTAAGGAGCACAGCAGCACTTGGGAGACAGAGAAAACACACCACGTGGTGCTTGTGCTACGGAACGGCAGCCAGGGCTCCGCGTATGTCGATGGTAAGCAAGTGGGTGGGGACGAAGTGTGTGCATTGGAGAATATGGATTCAAGAGCGGTCTCCCACTTCTACATTGGAGGGGGCGGAGGCAGTGCAGTGAGCACAGGGAGACAAGAAGAAGAGATGTCTGTGACTGTGACGAACGTCCTGCTGTACAACCGCCCCTTGAGCTCTGAAGAGATTGGCGCCCTCATCCCGAATAAAGACTCCATTCCACCTGTGGTGTCTGAAAATGCCCAAGGAACCCTGTTGCAGTCCTCTTCTGCCGGGAAACCGCCGTCGGGGCCTGAATTGTTGAATGGAAATGAGGATGTGGGCGGTGGCAGCACGTCCACATCAGCACCGTCCACTGTAACTACTTCCTTAGGAAAAGAGCAATCCGAAATTCAGCCGCCTTCAGTAATATCTTCCGGTGGAAGTAAACATGTGGATATCGCTTCTTCATCCGATGGTGATCCAACGGTGGGAGCGGAAGCTGGAGGTGCTGTGCATGGAGACACACCACCCCAAACTCCTGTGGATACTCCCGACACAGCAGATGCAAACGCTCCTAACGCTACGGACGCAGCTCAAGTTGGCCCCGCAGCTACAACTGAGGTGGGTGCGAGCTCTGATGCGAATGAGGAGACGGCGGAAGGGAGGGATGGGCAGGAGGATATCCATGCACAGCACGGCGAAGTAAATGCTGCGGCACTCAGCAGCAGTCTCGGAAATGTGTCGCAGGTGAATAACACCGATGCCGGCACTGTGCGTGGGAGCGGACTGCTGCCGCTGCTTCTTCTTCTGTCGGGCCTGTGGGGGTTTGCGGCTCTGTGAGGAGTGACTGGCTGCCGCGTGGGACAATTGCGACTTCCCCAGCAGCGACACACACGGTAATTAATTTATCTTCTTTAATAACTTTTTTTTCGCTTTTACCTGTTTGCTTTTCTGTGCGTTTTATATCCCCATTCCCTTTTTTTTTTGCTTTTGGGGGCAATCACTATGGACGTTTTTTATCTTTTCTACTCTTCCCTCTTTAATTGTTTCTTCTGCACTCTTCCTGCGAGGGGTGCCGTGTGTTTCCCGCCCAACTGCTCCACTCGCACACCCACCGACACGCTCATGACGACGGCCCTGTGCGCCTCGCCCGCTGCACGCATGAGGAGGGGCCGCGACGAACGGCGCGCTGAGGGAGCCGTGACGTGTGGGCGTGCGACGAGGGCCTGTGGGGCGGCGCACACATTTCTTTCCCTCTTGTTTTGTTTTCTTTGCGGCCAGGGCTGGCAGACACCCGCAGCGCCACACACACAGCCACACCCTGCCGCCGTGTTTTTCTTTAAGGATTTGTTTTTCTTTGCGTGTTTATTTCATGCGGTGGCGCACCCTTCGGTGTCGGCCTCGTGAGCATTTCTCTCCCCTCCGATGATTTCTTTTTCTTTTGCTGCGCTCACTCTCCCGATGGAGTGACGCGACTGCCGCCATGTCTGCGTGCTTCTCTCAGTCCCCACACACACGAGTGACTGTGCTCTGCGGGCCGCACTCACGCGCCGATGAGGGGCTGAGGGGAGCAGCAACACGCAGATGACCCCATGAAATATAAACGATGTGCGGACACACGGAGGGTCGGACGGTCGAAGCACACGCAACCATCTTTTTAATTTTATTTTGTGGGCAAAATACATACAGACAGTTTGGTGTGGCCACACGGCTGCCAGGCGATTTTTTTCTTATTTTAAATTTGTGTGGAGCAGTAATGGACGATTTCTTTTCATTTATAATTATTTTGTGTGGTGGGGTTTACATAAGACGAAGGGGGACGTTTTTTTGTTTTCAATAAATATTGTGTGGATTGCCGCTGCTTGGGCTGCAGTGCAGTCATGAGTTTGAGCGGTCTTGTTGTTGTTGTTTCCGTTATGCGTCCCCGCTGTACATTTTTGTGCGTCTCTCCACATACTCTGCTCCCTCTTTTCTACGTCTTTGCTTTGTGTTGCTGCAGGCACACACAACCACACACACACAAGATGCACATTGCAGTGGATTTGAATGCACCTTTTGTAGTGCATGCTGGCAGCTGCGTGTGGCGGCTGTTGTCTTCTTCCGTGGCCATGAGGAGGAGGGAGAGAGGGAGCGCACCCCGAGTCTATTTTCCTGCGGGTGCGATGCACCGCGTGTGACTGCGCTGAGTTGGGCTCCGTGTCCCATTGATGGCGGGATGGCAGGAAATTTTGTGCCGCGTGATGGATGGATGAGGGTTCGCTTGCTCCGTGTGCGTTGTGTGGTGGCCGCGGTGTTTTTGCCATTTCCCTGGGGCTGCGGGAATGAGCTGGGGGAGATGGTGGTGGATGTCTTCTCCTCCTGCATGGTGGGTGGCTGCTGGCGTTGTGTGCCTTCCTTGCGTGGATGCCGTCTCGTGGTGTGTGGACTGTGCGGCTGGGCCTGCTGCCCTCTCCTCATGTTGTCTGCGCTCTCTCGCTGTATCCGCTGTGCCTCGTCCCTCTCCCTCTCGTTCCATTCTTTTCCTTTCCGTCTCACCGATCAGCTGACTGACACCAGCGACTCCACTACGGGCGATGATGACTGCGATGGTGACGGTGCGGCGCCGTGTTGGTCCTTGCGCTCTTGTGCTGCTGCTGCTCGTCCGTGTGCGTGACGGCGACAGGAGACGATAATAATGATAACAGCCGTCCTCCCAGCCCTGAGCTAGGGAAACCGGATCCTACAAAAATATGCCTGGTGCATTACGGCTATATGGTGGGGAGACCGGTGGGCCACAGACAGAGAGTGGGAGAGACAGCGAGGAGGGTTTGAGAATTCCGGGACCTTCGTTGCCAAAGGAAGCAGGCACAGCCATCACTGGACAGACACCAGCTCCGCCAGAGTCACTGAGTTCGGCTAGCGATAATCCAGAGCCACGAGGTTTGGCAACTCAGTCTCCACACACACAAGGTGCGACCGGTATGTCAGATGCACAAAATAAAAGGCGCAGTAAAATACACGAGGCGATGAGAATCATAAGGCACAGATATCAAATCAGAAGCAGAAATCATTACAACAGAGGCACCGAGGAATACGGCCAGGAATACAGAGGCGCCAACCACTACGACCCGCACCGTCACGTCTTCGCGAAATGGACGGCAGCCTCAGCAGCTCTGCGTGGGTATGTGCCCCGCTGCAGAGGTCGTCGTATCCGCGATGGTGTACATCACTCTGGGCTGAAGAGGTGTGTGCGGGCTGTGCGTGCCAGCACTCAATCACGAGGATTTGTGCGCTTCTACTGTGGTCCGATGTATAAAGTAAGATTAGTTATGATGATTCTGTTTTGCTTTGTTTTCTTCCGCTGCCATGCTGTGTGCTTCTCTTTACTTCCCACATCCGTCTCATTGAACGCATCATAGACAAACTTGTATGCACGCCACGCATACAACTGTTTGCGTGGACCCACTGTTGGGGATGGATGCATGCACACTGGAGCCATTTAAGTGCAGGTTTCTGTTTTTGTGTTTGTGTTTTTACATTTTTTAGTTTCTTGCTGCTTGTTTACTTTTGTTTTGATTTTCCTTGTTGTGCTTTTTAATCTTGTGGTTTTCAGTGCGGCGTGCAATTTCCGCAATCGTGCTGATCCAAACTATCTCGTCCTGTGTGCTCTGTGATGTAACCGTCGTGGTTTTGTGACTTGTCTTCCCTTTTGCTTTCACTCTCTGTTGACGTGTTGTTAGTTTGTGCTGAAGGCCACACGCAAGTGACAGGAGTGATGGCGATGATGATGACTGGCCGTGTGCTGCTGGTGTGTGCCCTCTGCGTGCTGTGGTGCGGTGCCTGCTGTGGTGGACGAGCTGAAACATCTCTTCCAGATTCTTCGGGTACTACGTCCAGTGAAGGCAATGATTCTGAAAGCGACAAAAATTCCATAGGTGGCGCTGGAGGAGTTGACCAAAGCGGTAAACCGGCACAGTCACAAGCAGCAGGACTATCGGTGCAAGGCGCAACCGGAGTGGCAGCGGAAAATGCAATAAAAACCGAGGCACAAGTATCGTCAACGGCAGACGCAGAGAAGAAAAAGGAGGAAGAAACGCAACGAGCTGAAGATGTTGTTGAAAAGAAGGGTAAAGAGCAGGAACCGAAAGGGGAGGAAGAAGAAGAGGAGATTGAGCAAGGAGAAGGGGAAGGAGAAGAAGAAAGGCGAGAAGAAGATAAGGACGAGGAAGAGCAAGAAGAAAAAAGTAATGGTCAGAAGGAAGAACAGGAGGAGACAAAGAAAGGAGAAGCTGTTACCGGCACCATAGGGGGGATGTCGGCAGGCACTGAAGAGCAGCCAAGTTTATCTTCCGGCGCGGCGGGAGCATCGAATAAAACAAATCCCAACAGCACACCAACAACTGGAGACGATGATTCAACAGCTGATGGTGCAGGAACGGCAGAGGGAAAACAAAATGAAAATAAAGATGCCAATCCGAAGGAAGCACCAGTGACGGCGGCAGCCACGAAAAATACAACGGCGACGTCTGGCGACAGTGACGGCAGCACCGCAGTCTCCCACACCACCTCCCCTCTTTTGCTTCTTGTTGCGTGTGCGGCTGCTGCTGCGGTGGTGGCCGCGTGAGAGTGAGGGAGAGAGAGCCGTGCACCGCCCGCACACACACTCGTCCTTCTCTCTCTCTCTCTCTGTGTGTCCCCTTGCATGGACTCTCGCCTTCACCTCACCCCACGAGGCACACACAATAATGTGCCCATTGTATATATGCATGCACACCCATGCAGGCCCGTTGGTGCTCTCTTTTGCACGACACGCACCGCTGGCGTCCTGCCTGGCTGCATGGGCGGAGCACCGTAACTGTTTCTGTTTTGTTTTTATTGCATTGAGTGGGCGACCTCTCTCTCTCTCTCCCTCTGTGTGTGTGTTTTGCTTTACGGGAGCAATGAGAGTGTGTGTGCGCTGGTCGTCCCACGCTTCGGCTTTTTGTTTTATTGTTTTTCATTGTGTTGTGGTTGAGTGCACCCATTCCACTTTTTTTGATTGGCGGCATGCTTTTACTGACGACACTTTAGTCTTCTTTTGTTATTCCCATATCGTTTTGTTTGTTTTGAATTGTCACCCTCTTGCATTCTTGCGAGGCCTCTAAGTTTTTACTTCGACATACGCCATGCGTCAGTTGGTCCACGTTAACCCGTGGCTTGCAGCGCTTCTGCTGCTGTTTGTGATGATGCGTGCGAAGTGATTTTCCAGCGGATGCTTTGCTGTCACCCTGACGCATCCCTGTTTTTTTCTTTTCGATGTGGTGCGTACCGACGGCGCGTTGGCGACTCCGGTTGTGGTGAGGGTCGTGCGTCCCACAGCGCAGGATGTGTCGCAGGTGTACGGCGTCGTTTGTAAGAACCGATGGCTGCTTGTCCGCATCAAGACGTCAACAAGGATCCCTGGTGACAGCAGGAGGCACTGCGGCTTCTCCTGGCCCCGGCGACAAGGTCCGCACCTTGTCGCGGTGCTGGGACTTTGGTTGCGTGTAGGAACTCCGCAGCAGGGCGTTGCGGCGAGCACGACGGAGACCAAGACGACTCCACCCCTCGAGAAGGTTCCACGCCATGCCCGGTGCGGGGAGGTGAAGCGATCTGCCCGCAGGCTGTCGGACAAAACTGCACGACCGTTTCGCTGCGGTCACTCCGTTGATATCCCCCGTGGCGGTGACGTCCACACGAACCCTGGCACCGAGGAGGATGGCTGCATCACTGTTTGGCGGCTTAACATTGCAGGCCTCTCGTCCGTAAAAAAGATGGCATTTGCTGTACGATTGGAGCTGCATCAAACTGACATCTTTCTTTTTCCAGGAAATAAATGACCGTAGTGACGTAGCGACGAACGTTTCTGGCTATAATGACTACCTTCAGGTCTGCAGTTGGCGCGGTGGTGGCGTTGCCATTCTGGTGCGCCACTCTCTACCGTGCGAGCGCCTGTCGCTCCCTGGCACTGACCTCCTGGAGACCATTGCTGTCCGTGTATTTCCACCCAGCTGTTCCAGCATTTGCGTGGCGAACCTCTACAACCTTCCCACAGCAATTGTTCAATAATCCGCATTTATTAATATCTTCCGTCGCTTTTGCCCGCAGCGATTATCGCGTGTGAATTGAACTTACATCGTGAACTCCGGGACAGTCATATATACCACCAACGACTGGAGGAAAGAACTTCGTTGCTATTTTAATTGATTTGAACTTTGGGCTGGCAAATGACACGGCAGAGGCAACACGGATCACACATCGTAATGTCTCGTCCCCTGGCGTGACTGCGTATCGCGTACTGCGTGTCACCCACCGGGCATCCACCCCCTTACATGGATTAGGACCACTCCTTAATATCTTACTCGGTAGAGATGGATGATGGCATTCCGCGACTGGCCAACACGCCACCTCAACGGAAGAAAGCCACTTTTGCCCTGCGCAAAGCGGATTGGCCTGCTTTTACATCGTTGTGTGAAACACCCCTTTTTACCCTGTCCACATGGTTGGACATTCGCAGAGGCATCTTACGGGCGGCTAAGCGCCATATCCAGCGCGGCAGCCGTGACAGCTCCAAAAAGATATGGACACACGAAATGGTGCAAGCCGAGGCCGCCGCAGAAGCAGCACACGAAGCACACACATTGCCTTTCCTGGAAACGTGCTACATTTTACCGAATGTACCCGAAAAAGGGAGGAACGAAATCAAGCCTTACGCCGTTGCTTCGCTATGCTTCTGGAAGCCCGCGCGAAAAGACTTGGAGCCTCACCCAGCCCGAGCTGGCGAGATCTTCGCGGCGTGGCGGCGCCGCATCCTCATCCACTGGAATCGGTTGTGCTCCGCACTGATATTGGCCGCGTTTGCGCCCTGCCTCGGCAACAGGCAAATCTGATCGTCCTTCATTTTGTGCGTGTCTCACGTGCCACATCACCTTATACTGCTGCTGCTGCTGCTCGCCGCACTCCTTTGGTTCCTGGTGGCTGGGAAATGGATCGGCCTCTCACGCTGTATGAACTTGGCGTGGCCATCCGCGACTCTTCGCTTGGCTCAGCCCCTGGCCCCGACAACATGTTGGATGAATTCCTGCACCGTCTCGGGCCCGTTGCGCGCGGCACACTTAGAACGATGATCCACAACTCCTTCGCAAACGGCAGCCTGCCTGGCTCCTGGAATACGGTGGACAATATTCGCATTTCCAAACCTGAGAAGGATCCATGCCGCCCAGAGAGTCACAGACCTATCAAATCACTCTCTGTTTTACTAAAGTTAACCGAAGGAATGATTCACCGCCGTCTGTCAGCGTTATTGCCGCACCACCCGCGTTAATTCGGGTTTACACCTCCGCGTTCTACATCGGACGTGGCGACACTTGTCATCGATAAAATTACCCGTGGATTGAATGAGTTTAGCACTGTGGAGTATGAGCGCCCTGGAGGCGGCGCCCCCACACGACGCCCTCGTCGCCATCGCTTGTGGTCTCGATTGATTTTCCGACTGCGTTCGACACCACTGACCATGGGAAATTATTCAGCATGCTTGACAGACTTCCGCGCCTTGGCCTCGAACCAAACGCTGGCTGCACAACTACCTGCGGGGCCGCTACGTTAGGGTATGCACTCGCGAACAGCACTCCCGGAAACAACTCGCCTCAACTGGAGCACCGCAAGGCAGCGTCCTGCCACCCAAACTCTTCCTCCACTGTGTGGATGATGTGCTGCGCCGCATGGACAACATCTATTCTGCCGCCGCATTCATGTACGCTGACGATCTCACACTTGTTGCCTCAGGTGCGGACATCCATGCCTGTGCTGCGGCAATGCAACCTGCCCTGTCACTTACAACGGCATGGGCTGCCGAGCACAGCCTCAAAATCAACGTCGATAAGAGCGAAGCTGCTCTATTCTACATTTCTTCACACACACACTGTCTGAAGAGGAAATGGTCGATCTCCATCTTGGCAGCGAGAACATATGTATTCAGTCACGCCCAGTGCGCTTGCTGGGCACCACGATTAATCGTCTTCTTTTGGCACGCACGCCTCCGCCGCTGCAAAGCAGACCATGATACGCCGTTACCAGCTGCGGCCGGTCGCACAGGCTGGTGCGTCCCATCACACTATGCGATCCTTTTTGATTGTATACGTTCATAGTGTGTCACTGTATTGTGGCGAGGCAATTGTCCCATGCCTTGCCCAAACCTACCTCCATAATATGGAAGTACGGTATCGCGACGGTAGCAAAACATCCCTTGGCCTTAGCGCACCAAAGGAATATACATCCGTCTACTTGCAAGCCAATCCAGTACCGCTGCGGAAGATACTCTGGATTCTTGCACTCACACAATACGAACGCTATATACGCCTCCATGATTACGAGGATTTGCGTTCCCTTACCCACTCGGAACATATGCCGCCGTCCATGCGTGAAAAGCGGCGGCATCAATCCCGCTTCCGAGAGATGCTGTTGTTAATGAATTACGCCGCGTATGTAATATTATTGGGATACCCCACAGCCACAATCGTGCTCCTCCTATTCAACATCGTATTTTCCCCTGGGACACTGTGCGTTGCAATAAAGTGGAATTTATCAGCCACGCTTTGCCCAAGACGCCTCTGACGACGTCAAGCGCACGGCTCTTGATTCTATTTACTCCTCTCTGGGAGATTATGATTTTGAATTATGGACGGACGTTTCTTCATCTCACGCCGAGCTCGCATCTGGATCCGCTGCACTATTGTATGGCTCCACCACGACAAATGATCTCCCTGTGGAGGTACATCGTGCAGCAGCTGGCAGGCTCGCACGCTCATATAGAGCGGAGTGCCTTGCCACTGAAGATGGCACTAGACATCTCATACCTTTTGTCTGGAAACATCCCAATCGCCCACACGAATCCTGGTGGCAACGGACTCCCTCTCGGCAATCACACCACACACATCATCACAACCACAAGCACCAGCAGCACTGCAGACCGTGGGTTAACGTGACCAATTGGCGCATGCTGTACGTAAAAGAAAGCAATTAATGGCTTGAAAAGGATATGAAACACTGAAAATATCGCAAAACGAAAGAAAAAATAAAATAAAATAAAAAATCATGCGTCCACATTCTAAGTAAACCACCAATCCAAGAGAAAAAAACATAATGGGTCGACTCAACCACAACACAAACAAAACAATAAATGCAAAAAAAAACAAAGCCGAAGCGTGGGACGACCAGCACACACACTCTCATTGCTCCCGTAAAGCAAAACACACACACAGAGGGAGAGAGAGAGAGGTCGCCCACTCAATGCAATAAAAACAAAACAGAAACAGTTACGGTGCTCCGCCCATGCAGCCAGGCAGGACGGCAGCGGTGCGTGTCGTGCAAAAGAGAGCACCAACGGGCCTGCATGGGTGTGCATGCATATATACAATGGGCACATTATTTTGTGTGCCTCGTGGGGTGAGGTGAGGGCGAGAGTCCATGCAAGGGGACACAAACAGAGAGAGAGAAGGACGAGTGTGTGTGCGGGCGGTGCACGGCTCTCTCTCCCTCACTCTCACGCGGCCACCACCGCAGCCGCAGCCGCACACGCAACAACAAGAAGAAGAAGCAAAAGAGGGG